TTCAAGTGGTAAGATTATGAGCTTTAATAAGTAAAATTATCCCAGCTACAATGACAGACAACAAATATTACATTTATAGTATTACAACTAAAACTGTTTTTGACGCCACCGCAGTTTGTCCTTCATGAGCCTTCGTAGACAAGATGGTGGTGCAAGATAGCGGCTGCCTTTCTGGCGACCTGCGACCATGGAGATATAAACAGCTTTTTATTAGGTAAAAATAATAAAACAAGGTCTCTGTCTGCAATGATTAGACATGTTTTTTATTATTGTCATTAGTTATTATCTCAATTTCGGCTAAAAGAATTGACAAAATCCTACACACTGTGCCTTTAATGTGAATTTTTAAACAAACACCTTCTGTTGGAGATCAATTCAGCTACTACCACACTAATTTTTTGATCAATAATATCTATAAAACAGTTCCTGTGTGCAATGTTGAACTTTTCCCTCTTTTCTTGTCTGAAGGTTAAAATCCATCACCAACAAACAACCGTGTCTTTTATCTCCAATCTGTGTTTGCACCACAGTGAGCCCTTGTCGAGCAGCATGAATCTGAATATTTCTTTGAATAAGCCGTGGAATGGTCTGAGAATGTGCAATGCTGCAGGCAGCAGCCGCATGAATACGGAATGAGGAGCTCTGCTGTTGGGAGAGGAGCGCGAAGGAGGTGCTGCGGTGGACAGGTCTGTGGGCAAACAGAGGAGACGCAGGAGGAGGAGGAGAACGAGAGGAGCGGGGGAGCAGAGGAGACGCAGGAGGAGGAGGAGAATGAGAGGAGCGGGGGAGCAGAGGGAAAGGGAAAATGAGCAACAGAGCATGAACGGTGGAGGGCTGACGGAGCATAACACTGATGTACACACACATTCAGTATTCACACACAAACAGTTGCATGTGGTCAACACAGGAGCAGGAGGGAGATAAAGAGCCATTGAGAGCAGTGCAGCCAATGGCAAAAAAGGAAATAAAAGGAGACGAGACAGAAGAGAGGGATGGATTGTGGAGGGGTGAAAAGGCCGACAAGTTTAACAGGTAGGGGAAGGCGAAGGGACCACACACTGAAGATAAACGATTCACTAAAGCAAGTATTTTTACTCAAGGTGAAGGAGCGGATGGAGGGAGAACAATAATCAATAACAGAGAAGAAAAATGGGAAACGAGTGCGAGGGAGGAGCTGAAAGAAATGCCAATAAATAAGGAGGAGGAGAAGGTGAAGGATGGATGAGGAAGCGAATGAGAAACGGAGAAGCAATAGCCGAGCAGAATCAAAACACGGAAACCATAAAGTAAAAGAAAGGGAGCAAGAGGAGGAGGAGAGGAGAGGAGTTGAGCCTACCCTGATGGTGGTGTCCTCAGAGGACGTGATGAGCGTTTGGCCGCTCTGGCAGAACTGGCAGTGAAGCACGGTCTTTGTGTGCCCCAGCAGAGCGGCTAAAAGCTTCCCGGAGGGCAGCTCCAGGACCTGGAAGGACGAGACGAAAGAAAAGGAAAATGAACTTTAGCAGGAATACAGCAAAGACACACAAAAGTGGGCTTTAAAAGAAAAAAAATTTGAGAGGGGGATTTGAGTGCAACAATAGTTCAATCTACAGGACTGTATCACAGTACTGTAGGTGCAAAGAACACAGCTCTAGGAAAGTATTTCATTTTAGCAAAAGTATAAATGGTAAAATAACTTCTTGAGATGAGAAATTCCTAGAATATTTAAAAGTGAATTTGGGAAACTGTGTACCCCGCCTTTAGCCAAATGACCACTGGAGACAGGCAGGCCAACRAACAGTAAAGAAAACAGGTAGATGGATAGATTTTGGGAGATTCTGCAATATTATGGCCCAGAGGCTTCCTCAGGCTTTAAATATTCTCAACATAAACAAGGAAACTATAGACACCAGCTGTGTGGCGGTTTTCTCTTGGACTGCCTGTTCTTATCACTGAAACACATCAGCGACATGAAATATTTTAGGTTACAGTTAAAGAATGACTACAATGACTTCACGAGGTTTGTGATCAAAATTTGGAAGAGTTTGCTCAGATCTTTAACCATCGAGTGTTTTACATTAGTGTGCACCACGTGTGCACATTAGGGGGGAGTTGAGGACAGCGGGGAAAGGACTGAAGATTTACTTCATAAAGAAATGAACGCCATCTGTTTGTCCTTGCAGGCGATTATGAACAACAAAGATGAAGATGACAGCAAAGTTTCTCACACAGCCTCTGATCAAAGCAGCCAAAGCACATAATTACAGAAAGAGATGTCGAGTAAGAACTGATTTTGATTTTTTTAGCTTAAGAATTGTTGACATAAATTTCTCAGAAGGACATAGATGTTTGTGCAAGTTTGGAATTTTTCAAAATTTAGCATAAGAAAATCAAACTTTAAATGGGAAAATTATGCGAAATCGACTTTTTTGAGCTTTGTATATT